TACAGCATTTTGTGAACACTATTGTATTTGTTAGTTAAAGTACTTGAAATGACTTCAAATAAAGTTTTTCGAAAACTCAAAAACGGCTCCAAATGTTTAAAAAAACCTTGCCATTTAGGACGAGGTTTTACTGTTTTTTAATAATATTAAACTAACATTTTCGTTCTACAACTAGGAAAATTAAGAAAATGTCAAAAAATGCACTTTGGGCGGCGATAGATGGCAGCCGGCAAGAGTATGTGGCAAGTCCGTGAAGCTAGCGGAGACCAAAGGAAATAGAAAATTAATACGGGAAAGTCTGTGACATTCTGTAGCACCACTAGTTTGAAAATAATTTACTTTCTCAAGATTACTTAATTGATCAGGGTTAGAACGCTGACATTTGTTCATGTCCTAAATGTTTGAGAATGGGAAGGAGATTTAAGATAAAATTTGTACATTCATTAAACAAACAACATTCTATATTTAGGTATAAAAATAATTAAAATGTTTAACAAGATACATTTCTAAAATTTTTCTGAGAAACTGGTTTATCTGTCTGTTAAGATATTGTTATACATTCGGCGTGAGCATGCAGTGTTGCTACATGATACGATATAATTCTTTGGTATGCCCTTTTGATGACCAGCGAGCATATGGTGTGGTGATGTTCATGCATAAGCTCTAGTTTATTGGAAAACTATTGCAGACAGATAAGGAAAACACGGTCAATCACGGGTTTATGTGAGAGAGGTACTGAGTCCAATGATCCATTTCCCCCTCCATTGAAATTAAATCTTATGCTGACCGCAAGAAGCAGAAACAAATTGCTGAAAGCCATTGCGAAACGTATTGCTAAAGTAAGGCCAGCATAATGTTTACATTGGCCACTTTTCTTGCGAAATAATATTGCTCGCCATTTTGCTTGCAACGGTAAAGCCAGCTTTACCTTTGGTTGTGCTCGCGATACAAGCGAACTACACCGTATCTTCATCCGTTGGCAACAGGCCCAATTTCTGAAGTCTGACTTCATAACAAGTTAGGGAGAGTAATTTACCACATATTAGAACAGGATTTATTCATTTTTTCTGTATTAGGGCTTCCTATAAGACTTTTTCTGTCGAAAAATCGCTGTTTTTGCCGCAGCCTAACATAACTTTCTCTATTCTACTCCGTACATACGTACGTACCCGAGGAAGTAATATGCCAAAGAATTCAAAATAAAATTCTTCAGGAATGCTCTAATTGGTCAGATTCGTAAAGATATGTGACCATTTCCCAAGTAACAATCAGTAAAAAGCATTCGCATACAAACCCGAGCTCTAGTGATAATCAACTTTTTTCAATGGAATTCATGTTTATATTTAATATACTAAACTAAAAATTCCCACACAATTCAGGCTTCGAACTTATCTAAGGAATTACATTGTGTTATAGTCCTGGACCTCCTCTCTGCGCTGGATGATGAAATCCAGCGCCGACCTACACGTCGGCTTGCAGAGCAATTCCGCTTCCAGGTGTCTGCACCAGCGGGGCACCGCCCCAGCCGAGACAAGTTCTAAGACCCCGAAATGTGTGATAGTGTAGTACATGCAAGAGGTGAGAATAGAGCAAAAAGAAGAAGGAAAGATCGCGCGCGGTCGTTGGCCCGTTGGTTATGGCACTACTCCAGCATTTGCCTGGCCGCTAGAATTCTCCTCCAGATAGCGGATGAATGCAGCCTAGCTATGTAGATAAAATCGAAGATCTGCCACTGTCGGCACTTGAACTCCAGTACCTTCCGATGAGAGTCGCTGCAGAGACAGCGGCACTCTTGGCTCTGAACTGAACTCAGCGGATGAGCGCTTCGCTCTCAAAAACTAGATTATTTTTTCAAATCAGTAAATTCGCGAGGACCTATGTGAACACATTATCACCAAAGTGACATAACACATTTTCCTGAACACTAGGTGCTCAGTCTGAATAAAATGAAATGAAATTTGATGGAAGCCTCTGAATCGGACGCAGCCCGTTTGACACATGCGGTATACACTCGATCTTTGCGCAAAGACCCCTGCGATCCTCATGCCACTTCAATGTTAGCTGTGTCACCCATAGGGGAAGGGAAAGGAGGACGAGAAAGAAAAGAGAGGAAAGGAAGAAAATTAATAGGAAAAGAAAGAATGATTACTAGTGAGTTCGGGCGCGTGAACTGATAAGGTCATTAGTCCCGTAAACGTAGTGCATGCTTTTACAGGAGAGATGGTGCTGATATTGCCCCGCTGGATAGTGAGATCGTCGGGTAGCCGGGTTTTGCCAACCAGCGGGGCACCGCCCCAGCTAGGGCAAGCTCCAAGCTCCTGACCGGTCTCACGGCTTGTGTGGTAGTGTAGTGTATGTAAGTGTGTAATAGGTGAGGATAGAGCATTATAATAGAAGAATGGGAAGGAGCTGGGCGCGGTCCATGGCCCTTTAAATAAGAGTCTTGCTCTGGCATTCACCCGGTATTGATCGGAGAAACTACAGAAAACTATCGATTAGAGTAGCCGATCGCTAGAATTCTCCTCCAGGCAGCACGGAAAGCATTTAAAGAAAATATTTTAGAATATTTTTGAAAAAATGTGTTTTTACTTTATTGATACCACTTACGCATTAGAGAGGTTATGTAATGCTGCGGGGGAAAAAACAGCCAATTTTCGGCAGAAAAACTCTTATTTCCAGGCCCTGATAACGAAAAAATTGATAAATACAGTTGCTAAATTTACTAAAAATATCCTCTAACACGTGGTGTAGGCAGAATACGTGTTTTGTTCTTGATACCGAAACATCGACTGACCAGAAAACGTCCGTCCGTCCGTGAATAGCACTAACACACGTAATTGTTTTCCAAAATGGATATTCCCCGGTCGATCTGGGTCAACTCGAAGCGTTGCGATTTTGAAAAAGATTCTCATTTTACTACTATATGTGGATGTGCAACGCTGTACAGAGCCGCAATTCCTGGAAGTTCTTATTCTAATCTTAATCTTTTCCTCTGTTTCTGATCCTTATCTTCTTTTATGTGAATTTGACGCCTAAATCGCTTGACAAAAATACCTTCAAAGTCTTCTATTTTTTATCCGCCTCCCTAATTTATTGCACCCTGATACAGGCAATATAAGCTGAGAAACACATAAAACAACAAAAACACGTCAAGACCTTCTCACCCATATCCCTAATTCCAGTTTCAAACTATCCTACTTCCCAACCAGTAGCGTAACGAAATGAGTGCGGATCCACTTTTATCCGGGCCCCGTTTATAAAAGTGTATAGAGAATCACAAGAAGTGTCAGTACCACAAATAGTAAAAATATCCCCTAAAAATAGGACCTCTTTTACGTGGACTCGCCCGCGTTGAGGGCCCGAACGTTACGCCGCTGTCCCCAACTATCTGAAAAACCGCCCGTGTGTCCATAATTCCCAAACCACGCAAGGATCATCGGCATCTCCCAAATGGTAGGCCTATTAGTCTCCTCATAGCAAGTACAATTTTTGAAAAAGTAATCCTCCTCAGCCTAACCTAATCATTCAAAATCAAAAAATCACCTACTACCCTATCCAAGCCGGCGCCCAAAGGGCGCCGTGCCTTCTCCTTGTATATCAAAGACATCACGCGGCGATGGTGTAACGATTAGCGTATCGGACTGTTATACCCAAGTTAGCGGTTTCAAACCCGATCGAAGCCGTGGATTTTTAAGAGCGAAAAAATCCTTCGTACTGCTCCTTCCTTCGGAGGGGAAGTAAAGCCGGCTGTCCCATGTTAGTACATTTACTTGCATGTAAAAAATCCTCAAACCTACATGACGCCTCTGAGCTAAATTCAAATCGCCTGTTTCTCGCCAAAGAAATATCTAATTTCTCTGCTAGTTGTTTAAAGGAGCGTAGCGAAATTTGCGTGGTCAGACGTGGAAGAACAGGCCTCTCGCCACGTAAAATAAGGCATTAATTCAATTCAATCCCTTCCACCCCCAGGAATAGAGTTTCCTATATGCCGACGACCTTGCCTTCCTTATTAACATCTCTACCAAACCTCCAAATATTCCTCTACTCCTTGTTTGTCTGGTCTTCCCAAAACTCCATTACAATTTGCACTACAAAATCCCAAACCATCCTGATCTCATTCAAAACATGCCCATCAAACCCACCTCCCCTGACAATGAGCATCCCCATCCCCTCCATAAACTATCAGTCCCATATAATCACTTTCCAACCGACTCCTTTGGGCCCACCACATCCACAACACCATCATCAAAACCAACAGAACAACCAATGTTCTCCACCCTACAATTCCAATTCTCAAGAAAATCCAGACCTACAATACCTACATCCATCCAATTCTTTCCTATACCCATCCCACCTGGTACACCACATCCAAAAGAAACCACAGAAAACTGACTATAACAGAAAATAGAGTACTCCAATTAATATTCCGCTCACCCCCATACCACCTCTATAATGACCATTAAGTACTTCATATCCACTCTTACCTCAACAGTCGTAAACAACTCCAAATTCATAAACCTCATCCTTCCCCATCACAACATCCTCTGAAACCCTCTCCAACATACGTGTTAAAAAACACCCCTGGACATCCATCAACTTCCCCCTCCCATAAACCTAGGCCAGACGGCAGACTAAAACAGACTTAACTAACATGTGACAACGACTGACCTAAAAAAAAGATGCACCAAAAATGTAAAATTCCTTTCCCATCCACATCTCTCCTCCCATCATCCAGACACCCAAACAAAACATCTTACTTCACCATCTTACCTCAACAAAATAACCCTTCTTTCAACCACTCAGATTCGCGATTTTCGTCCCTGTACAGGGGAGAGGAGTCTTTTAACTATTATATTAATGACTAGTAACATCTTCACAGCATGAAGAGTCTCTGTAACAGAGACAGGCACTGCTGCAAGAACAACTATCTTGTCTTTTCTTCAACGAAAGGAAGAAGCCTGTCACATCAGTATCCAACAGCTTGAGTTGTCCATACAATCTATTTTTGATCACATTTTAAGAGCATTTTTTTAAGTCATAAAAATCTGCCCCCTATTTATAATACTATACCACAGAAAAAAAAAATAAAACCAAAAGTTAGTGTTTAGTTGATCATACAATTACTTCAATAACTCTTTGTATTCAGAGGGATTAGAAATCTGAAGTGTATTTTGAAGTGTAAGGCCAAAGAAGCCCATAATTTCAAATTACAAATTAATGTTAATAAAAATAATGTATTGTTCTGTATTTTATTATACAAGCTCTAAATGTATTTCCCCCAATTTACTCAATTTTTTCTTAACATCTTCAAAAAGAGTAAAAGAGAAGTTTACAGTATTTAATAAGATAATTGAAGTGATGTTTTATGTTTACTTCCTTCAATAAAGGAATTTTCTTTTACACGAAATCCGGGTGGTCTACATTTCTGAACATGCCTCTGGATTATTGAAGTAAGAGATGCCTATTGAAATTTGTATTGAAAAAAACGGAACACTTAATATTAACAGGTAGTGGAGGTGGTAGGAGCTTCAGCACTAGCTAGATAGCTGGGTTGAATTTGGCCATTGTCTTGGGGAGAATTCTAGTGGTTGGCTGCTCTGATCCGTATTTTTCCGAAGTTTCTCTAATTAACATCAAGCAAATGCCAGAGCAGTGCTCTAAGAAATAGGCCGTGACCCTGATCTTTCCTCCCCCTCACTTACACGCACTACACCACCACATGATGTGGAAAATCCTGCAAACCAAAGAGTAGGTTGGCACTGGATCACACCATCCAGTGGCAGAGATCATCAGAACCTCCCATGTTAAAAACATGCTCTATATTTAGTAGTTCACATACCTAGAACCACTATTCAATCAATCAATTTACAGGTAATGATATTTGGGACTGAAGAAGAGCAAGGATACATCTCGTATGTGCCAAAATACATTTGCTGATGTGGTTCTGATTCAAGATCATTTTCTTGAATATATTAAAGCAGAATTTAATTTCCATCCACATATTCAACTGTAATCTGAGAATGCAATAGCACACCATTCAGTAAGTCTTATTAATTACACTATGCAAATGGAAATTTACAAAAATAGTTATCTGATATAAAACTGGTAACATTCACTCAATATTTGAGTATTCAATGATTGCAGGATGCTATTGAGAATTTGTGTTTAAGAAACACTAATACATTGGAGTACAGTGTCATTCTAACACACATTCACAGTCTTTTACTGATGATCATATAAATACGATTTCAATTAAGATGAACTTACACTGTTACAAAAATTAGAGGTATATTAAGAAGAATATTATTGCTCTTCAATTTCATACAAAGTATCATTAAACGGCCCATCATTTAAAGCTTTACAATATATTCAAATTCTGTTTAAAATTATAGGTAAGCTTTCTTTGATAAAAAAGCATATTTTATAAATTATTCCTCTAATTTACATTGAACAGTGTAAAAGATTTACAAAATGTATTTTTGAAATATAAATGCAACATAAAAAGTCATTTGAATAAACACAAAGGCTTCTCTGCAGCTTTTCATTTCACATCTCATAGTGGAAAATACTCTAATTCCATTAAAATTTACAAAATGTTTTCTCTTCCTAAGATGGAGCATACAGGAACATCAATTCAAGAAATGAATTAGGCAGAAAACATGAGCAGCATCTTAGCAGTAAAAGCCAAATTTTCTTCAGCAAACAGCCGAGTAAAATGTAGCTCCACAAGAGCAGTTGACAGGCTGCAAAAAATTCAAAACAACATAGTGAATTATTTTTCAAATTATCAATTTAAGAACATTAATGTACTTATTTGTATAACATTATTTTTAATATCCAATAGAATTAAGTGCATAACTCAAGTCCAGAATGAGAATTAGGAAAGTGAAAGCATTAAGCAATTCACATCGAAATGTAAATGACAACATCTTGTGGATTATTATGTGACTAAAAATACTTTTTTTAATGCTCACAACACTGTACTAATCATGGTGCAGAAAATATGCATTCTTATTCTTATCTATATTCTTATGCATTCATGCATAAGAATCCCTATTTAAAACTTCTTTATTACATCCAATTATGATTGAAAAAATGCAATTTTTTATTAATGCTTATTTGATGACTATATTTCAAAAGTAAAGTATTTATTTGTATCAGATATTTACATTTACAAAAAACTTTTAATGAAGATATTTTACTTGGAAAATACACTTATAAGAAAATAAACTAGAAAAGATTTGGAAAAGTAACTTACAAGCACTCTGTGGAATGTTCATCATGGCACAATGTTTTCTAATACATATTGTTGTCACTTAGGTGAGCTGTATGTTTTAAATAAATGGCTATCTGGACGACCAGCTAATAGCAAGTAATTGTCATCTCCAATTGGTGCCTGCCTAAAAAACAGAAAATACACAACATTACTCAACAGAAATTGTGTGAAAATCCATGGTAGCACGATGTAACTAATAATATCAAGAAATAATTATTGGAGCTCAATACTAATATTGGAAGATAATTTACATCAAAAGAATTGTTGCGACATTTTTAGAATGAGTTCAGAGTATTTTATCCACTTTTACTTCAGAGATTTCATTCGTAATATTTTTAATTTCATGATCTATTTAACTCAAATTTCCCTACTCATTAAAAATTGTATTCTAGAGATGTATTTTTGTTCTTCCTTAAAAAACAATTATTGTTATTTTTAAAATTACAAGTCTGATTATGCAGATTGTCATATAATTTTGAGTTCAGTTAATTTTTGGTTCATGTGGTGGAAGGGGCATGACTATGTAAAATAACAAAGCTAATTACATATTTGGTGAAAATAAATTTGTGCATGTATAATAAACATAATAAGCAGTAAGGCTAACAAATAGCTTCCTAACTACTTTTCAATTAAATTGTCTATTTCAGAATCCAGGCAAAAAAAAAAAAAAAAAAAAAAAAAAAAAAAAGAAAAATGTAAAACTACATTTTTGGGTACAGCTTATAAATTGTGTTGTTATTTCAATAATTTTTATTGAAAAAAATATTTTACGGATACTATTTAAAAAAAATTGACTACTCACTAAATTTTGACATTTGTTTTTTTGTTTTTTTTTATATAAATCATTTCATTGCAGATATACACAAATTAAAAAAAACTGCCTCTTAAATTTTAACCCATGAAAAATGAAATTTTAAAAGGACAGTGAAATCTGCTGAAACAGTTACCACCATTCATCTCTTTTAACAGACATTTTACGATAGAATCATTTGATTATTCCTTTCAACACAAGATGGCTTCCTTTGGGCATGCTTCTTCCATACAAGAACTAAATGGTTACAACTTATTCTAGTGATTTTCTTCTGTATCACTAAAGTTCTATGTAAGTGTGGCACCACAGTGGGTATTTTCTTGTTAAAAATTGTTATTTGTGCTATGCAATATCACAAATCATCACAATACAAAGTAATTTTAAATGTAATCAAGTGTCTGCCTGACTTGGACTCTTGGGCATCCTTATGCATGAAAATAAAATCAATAGAAATACTTTTTTACATATTTGTTTCATTACACAATCAAGTTTAATTATTGTCTAACAGATGAATCAGGTCACAATGATTACTGTTGAGTAAGGAAGGGAGTATTCACAGATGTAAACACTTTGATAGTTTCAAAATATGTTCGGAATTCAGAATATTCTAGCAGTATTTAGTTTAAAAATAAAAGTGCCACAAATAGGAATCAAATGAGCTATTGACCACCTCTGTAAGTGTTGTAAGAGTTACATATAAATAGGAGGTAGATTTTAATTACCTAAAACATTGGAAAAATTGAGCAATAAATTGTTCTTAAATTGTTTTTAAAATGCCCTAAACGCAAATAAAAATTATCAGATAAAAATAATTAAAAAATCATATAAACAACTCAAGTTGTCCGAAACATTACTGATGTAATTGAGGCTTCCTTTCATTCAAGTGAACTCAGATTGGAAACTTTTGGTTTGGACTGTTCTTTACTAGGAAATTTCTGTCTTTAGTTATTTTGAAATTGGCCTAATAGAAAATAGCACTGATAGGCGGTGTCATAAGAACCTTATACTACATAAACACAATGGATGACTTTATAATTTCTGAGGAAAGAAATAGGATATGCTACACAGGAATTTTGTGAAGAATGTTTGTTGCATCTCATAAATATTATTTATGCACATACAATTAAAATGATGTTAATATCATTGAAATTAGGGAAAAATGCTACAAAATTGACGGAAAAAGGTAAAAATGACTTAGTAGTTACACTCGATGAAAAATGCATAAAATGCCATGTAAAAATGGACCATTTCCTCTTTACATATCATAAAATTAATGATGATGCTAAAAGGCATTTTTCTAAAATGATAAGCAAAAAATTACATTTCATTAAATTCCCCCTACATACTCTATATATAAATATAAAAAACACACTTTAAGAGCCTCAAATCCCTAAATACTCATTTTTTTCAATCTCAGAATATTGTGGATAGATCCAAAAAAATTGTAAGTTCCCCACCAGAAGTCCAATTCCATGTTAAATGACATCACTTATCCGTAAACCAGAAGAGGAGAACCATACGTAATGGATTGACACACATGGGTTGCCTGATTAATATGTAGGATAAGACAGATTTGTTACAGTATCTTTCTGATTTAGAGAGCTGTATCAGATTAGAATGGAAATCTAGAGCCCCTTAACTCACTATATGATTATTTTGACTTCATGGCAAACAACAAAAAAATGTCAGCCTAAATTTGATGAATGATAGCCTAATGGATGTCAAATGAATGTCAGCCTAAATTTTCTCATAACCTTCATATAGTGGTTAACTGCATGAATTATGTATTCTGTGACCAACAGTGATTCCTGTCAAGTTTCTCTGTTATTAGTGTCTAAATATTCCTTACTCGAAAAAAGAAAGAAAATTTCTCCCTTACAAGGAAAACTCTGGATCATTGATATTTCCTTCTAGAACATGTTGTGTGAGTAGATGACAAGCAGTGTTAGGACATATGGAGAGGAGCATGTGATAAGGACACCAGCAGCAAGTAATCAGTAGCTGAGTACTATTTGAGCACAAGAGGAGCAAACAGTGAGCAGTCGGTAAATGTATGGTAAGCGGCAAGTGGGAGGTGGGTAAATGATAAGACAGGTGTGTGGTATGTAACTGCCGGAAAAGAGGCAAGTTAAAAGCTTTTTCTAGTTTTTCTAAGCTTAAAAGCCCATATGTATTATGTTTTGTTTTTATAAATGTGTTTGTTACATGTTGTTAAAGCTCTACTAGAAGGGAAAAACTGGAGAACTATTTTCTTGATTGTTCTGAGTTTCAAGAATTCCTTGTTGCAGGTTTTGATATTTCTGAATGAGTTCTACTACAGCAATACATGTTTTTGATGTGGCAACAATCAAATTTTTCGCTGACCAATTTTTCAAAGCCATAACATTTACTATTTATGTTAAAAACTTTCTTAAGACAGCAGAAATTTGTTTTACTATAGCCCAAGTAATTCATTGCATAGGGAAATTAAAACCTCTACTTTCAAAATGATGAGATGTGGGGAGGCTTTCTGCGACAAGACTTTTACAACTTGCCTTTGATGAAAAGTCCCTTCACCCTAGTCTTCATTCAATCAAACTCTGGGGTACCCACTACTTACTTGCTGCCATATTTCGTCTCTCGCGCAAGTGAGCGCTGGTAGCTGCGATGTTCCTGCTCCAGCTTGTACGCTGTCTCCATTACAAGAGACAGAGTCTTGAAACATGACTGTACATCTTCGATGACAAAACTGGGCATAAAACAGATGTCGCCCGTATAAACTGCTTGGCACTCACACGCATCTGCACAGACAGTTGCCAAGTAAATGAATACAGTTAAGAGTTAACATAATATAAGTTTCAAATATATAGCAAACCAATAATACAACAGAAAATATGAAATTTATTACAAAAAATCTTAGACATATTTTGCCATGGAATTGCCATTGGTAGTTGTAAGCCAACGACTACCAATATAAAACTTAAATTTAAGAAAAGATCACGTAAAATGGAAAACGGAAGACCATAATAGATTTTCCTGAGCAACAGACTAGCAAACTTTCCCATAATTTCATGTGATACGAATTACACTTTGAAACAGTTAAAAGCTAAGGTTGGTCTTAAACATTCAATATTTAATTGTCTGGAGTGTGTTGAGAGTAAACATTGCATTTGAAACTTTAAATTTTTCAGTCTTCCCTTTTTTCTCATTTTGCAGAATTGCAGTCATATTTTTTATTGGGCAATATTGCACATATGAAAAGATAAAATGAATAACTTAAGTGTATATTTTCACGTGTTATGAATAAAAATTTTTCAATATTATGACACAGATGTGAATTACAGTTTTTTTATTATTTTTCCTGATATCTGTACAATTTAAATTATACCCCCAAAATGTTTGACCTTAAAGAAATTATACAATGAATGATTAATATAAATCATTTACATTAATTTAAGCATTGAATTTATGTCACTAAATATTTAGTAAGAGTGTACATTTAGAATATTGTGTACACATATCAAGAAGAAAATTAATAATTATTATTAATATTAATAATTTAATATTTCAATACCAATTTTTAAAATAAACTCTGCTTTTCCAGATGTTTGCTTTCTTGCTTTTTCATTCTAAGCAGTTTAGATTGAGTATCAAAGTTCTGTAGCACATGTCAGAAATAAGTAGAGAAAATGTGAAAACAAATCACTGGTAAAAAACTTCTACGTCAGTGTACTAAGGGAAATTATTACTAGTATTATTGGTAACACTGTGAAAAATTTAATAATAGAAATAATAATAATAATAATAATAATAATAATAATAATAATAATAATAATAATAATAATGAGGGGGATGCCACAGAGCAGTTTACATACTTGTCAGTGCCTCCAGCCGATCCATATGCGAGATAAATAGAGAGTGAATGCGCTGCAGCTCTCTATCAGGATCTAGATTCATTTGAAGAGATTTTTCACTCTCAAAAGAAGATACATCTGTACATCCAGGTGCCCCTTCTACCATAGCTCTACAACTGAAACAAAACCAAACATGCTATTCAAAAAGGAGTATTAAATGGAGAAATAATGTTTTGCCTCTGTGTTAAATAGTAAGATTTTAGTTGGTTTGTAAGAATTTTATTTCATTTAACTTAAACATTGTGAACTATTTCTTAAACCCAGTGACACATGGTGAAAGAAAGAATCTGGAATTACATTAATAGTTGATGAGGTTCACTTATATTTAGACTTGTCTATAATATTACATTACGTCAGTCAAAATACAGGTCTGATATGTAGTACATAGATAAGATTTCACCTTTGTAATCCATGCATATTCTATACTAATCCAAGATGTGTGGGAAAGCCAGGCAAAATACAAAATTATGTCAAAAAGAGAAAAGTAAAATAAAGTATAAACCTTTTATTGTAATCATTCCAGGTTGCAATGAATTTGATAATATTAACCAATTAATAATAAGAGAAGATAATTATAATTGAATATCAAACGAGAAAGAAAAGGATGTGATTTATGAAATATTTTTGAGTTTTTTGTTGTTTTTTTAAAACAAAAATTGATTTACTGTGATGGTAATTTCAGAATGTCAGTGGATGAACAGGGCAGGGCTGTGAACGTGTGGGGTAGGATGGGGCAGGTTGAGACACACACAAACACATGACAGGGACGGTGGGAATGAAAATAAAATAAAATTACTTCCATTTAACATTTTAGAGAGAACATAATTGAGATAAATATATCTTGGGAAACTCAGGAAAGAAATTTCTTAATACATTCTTTCAATTATTAAACTTTTTAAATGTTAAAAAGAAAATCTTATGATTGAACTTACCAAAGCCAGTGACCATTTACAAAGGCAGATGGATGATAACGCTGGAGTCGGTTTGCATTTGTTTGGCAAATCTTTGTCAGAATATCAATCCATTCTTTCTCTTCAACACAATTGTTTGCCTGCAAATCAACAAGAAATAATACTTAAACTTTAAATAAAACTTCAAATCTTAATGAAATGCACTCTCTTGATCTAATACATAATGATTGAAGTGATAATATCGCAACCAGAGACAGAACAAACATTATTCAAGTGTGGAAGAACGCTTCATTCATTGAATGTGTACAACTTTACTTCTTTTCTCTTTTTAATTTCTTGCCCTCATAAAAGTACTTCATAAGAAGAGAAAGTTAAGTAATCATGATCTGGAAAACAGACAATTTTTCAGGGGAAAGAAAAACAACTTATTGCTGGACCCTGGTAAAAAAAAAGTGGGTAAATCCAGTTGCTAAATATATTTTTTTAAAAATTCCTCTAACACATGGTGTAGTGGCGTACCCAGAATCCATGTTTTGTGGCTCCTTGATTCCGAAAAATCTATTGACAGCAAAATGTTTGTCTGTCTATCAGTAATCAACGACAGCCTCTAAACCATTCAGCTGATTTTCTCCAAAATTGATATTCCCTGGTTGACCAGAACGAACTCGAGGCTTTGAGAATTTCAAACACATTTTTATTTTTGAGAATACTTTACCTGAAGCCTCAAAAACATTTTCAAAATTTTCTCATAAATGGCTCCAATTTTTTAAAATAAATTTGTTCTCAGATAGCGTAAAGGACATTTAAGAGAATGGTGCAAGTTTCATGTTTGTTAAAATCCCAGATTTTTTGCAAATTGCAAAAGTGTAATTTTTGAGGCATAGTCCTACAACTTCAATATTAAGGATAGTAATTTTTTCCTTAATGAAATCTGTTCTTTAAAGACAGATCTTCAAATAAGTTCATGTCCAATTTAACAAAAATATGATTTTTTTAGTATAATTTTGCATGAAATATAGGCAAGTTAAAAAAATTTTTAAACAATTTTTTTTTAAAATCTACTCCAATTTTTTCTTCCCTTTTTATCATATTTTAAAAAAAATATTTTGATTTTTTTTGTTTTTTGTTAAGGGGTGTCAAAAATATGGTGTTAGTCTCAATTTCAATGAACTTTTTACGAACATTGCAAAACGTTAACATTTGAAAACTATAATTGAAAATAAAAAGTTTTGCCTGAGATGAAGTGTGTTGTAAAAAATCTTAGCAAAGGCAACCTAAGCTCTCAGCAAAGGTCACATACACTTATTTAAAAAAAGAAGTGGATTTTGCATAATGTGTTTAAAACGTAGGCAAGTAAAAAACAAAAACATTTTCTAAAACACTACTCAAAATTTTTTCTTCAATTTTCTCCTCCTATGTACCAAGGGACAATAAAAAATGGTGCTTATTCCAGAGTCCAGGACCTTACCATTCTTCTGTAGTGTAATAGTTTCGCTGATGACGAGTTAACTCTAAGGACCTGAATTCGATTTTTTGTGCAGAAAATTATTTTGGCTGAATGAAAGCACTTTTTTATGTTTATTTAGTAGTACAATATAGCGGAGCACTTAATGCAAGATAGTACATGCTGTTGTAGCACCACTAGTTTTATATGAGGAGTGGACCATAAATCGTGGCTAATTTTTTTTTTTATTACATTTCAAATGTGATAGTATTAAATAATGCAGATTCATTGTGTTCACATTCTGCAGAAGATGCTTTTCTGAAAGTTGCCAAAGTCAAGTTGTACTTTGTAGGAGTACCAGGTTGTGATATCAGTATCAAACCTGATACACCTAACCCAAATTTCTAGGGAAAGATATGTAGAAAATGAAACAACTCTACTTTTATACGACAAATATTACCTATTATGGATGCAGTTTAATGATATGGGCATTTCAGGAAATCACTTCTCACCAGCAATCCAGAACAGGATTGATTAATTAATGTTTCCAGGTGCATCAACTGCAATGGTCATTAGTCCCATAAGTGCAGTGGATGTTTTTTTAAATGTGGGGGACGGCAGTGATCTTTACCTGCTGAATAGCAAGATCTGACATTGACCTATTTGTCAGCCAGTGGACTTTCTCCAATTGCAAACATCTCCCACTAGTGGGGCACTGCAGAAGCCGTGTCAGCTCTAGGCCCCTGATGGATCTCCCGATAAGTGGGGTAGTGTAGTGCAGGTGGGTGTGTAGAAAAAATAAGTAGAGATATTTTTGTGTCAATTTTAGCATGCACACAGAAGATCACATAACATTCAGTTAAGAAACAAATTTGATCGATTCTTCAACAAAAGATGAAAACGTATAAATATCTGAATGTAATCACATGGTCAACTTCTCAATTGTTAATTATTAGGTGGTAATTATTACAATGCAAAATTACTAGGTACATACACTAAATTTGTTCTTGTTCGACTCATGGATGTTGTTGGCTTATTGAGTAATGAAAAACATCTGCAGATTTATTTTTATTCCTCCCTACAGAGTCCACACTATATTAGCATTCACTCACCTGGACATACAGGGCACGCTCTGGTTGAACTATCTGAAACATGTTCTTTTTCTTGAATGATTCTTCTTTTAACCTCTCAACTGCAAGAATCTGATCCAATGGTATACAACATAATGGTTCCTTTCCTATAACATAAGAGGTTATTTGAATAATCTTGTTGATTAGCAAAGCGAGGGGGTGTGAGTTAAGTTTAGTTTTTCTATCGTTGTATAGATAAGAATTTATTGTTTTGTTTAGGTCTTCAATATATAATTAATATTCATAGTGGGCGAGACTTGATTTTGATTGCAATAAGGGACCCCATGGGTCCCAGGTCTCTTTGTTTTTCTGGACACCCCAAGTTTTGAGGTCATAGATTGTGACATCATCTGTAGGTTAATCGTAGCATAAGTGGATGCCGAGACAGAAGTACAATAAATGTTACCATCTTTACAATGTTAAAGAAAGCAAGAGACTATTCAAGGCTGTCACATCCTTATCATGAAATTTTTTCGTTGTATAAAAATTAATTTGTGAGGGAAAAAAAAAGTAATTCAGTACGAGATGTCATGTCCCACCTCTTATCTACCGAATTTTCACTAAGATTGCATGGAAAATTCGTTAGACTAGAGGGGAGACCTGACATCCTATGGAATTATTTGATTAATTTAGTTATTATATTGATGATGCTATCAAGAAAATATTCAAATCAATTAAGAGCAGAAATAATGACAACATAATATGTATTTTCCTTCTCTTCTACATTGTTTTACACCTCTGCTTCATGTTTAATTAATAAAAAGGACATATTTTTGAAGGTGCAACCATTATTACCTTTGGTTTTTGAGTAAGTGAGGTCCTGGGTAGTCAGCCGGAAGTAGCGAAGTTTGAAATTCTTGCGACCAAATCTCTTCCGTCCTTGTGCTCGTTTTATCATCACTCTATAAAGGATAAAATCTTATTTAAATTATATTTTAATATACTTCAGACGTGGCTTATAAAACAGTACAATTAAAATTAATGGTTATTTTTCTTACAACCAGCTAAAAGATATTTCTATATGCAAGTTAGATGATGAGCAACATAATGATCTTTTATCTACTGATAACATACAAGTGTTTATCCTGTTTAATTGCCTTTACAATATTTAATAGATTTCACAAACAGTAATTTATATGATAGACATAAGTAAAAAAAGTTTTATACTCAAAACAATTAAAATATCATTAAAGTACATACACACTGGGAAGTAAAACTGTCAATATATCATTACAAGTTACTAAAAATGTTTGAAATCACAATATTTACGCCCTGAAGAGTCTTTACAATGTTTCTGTTCACTGTGCACTGCAGTGTCTTTGGCAGAACACTTTTTTTATCTTATATTATTATATTTATTTTAACCCAGATATAAAAATAAGCCATTTTATCTACTCTAAACATGAAAGTAAATAGCATTTAAAGGCAAACAGACAATATAATTTTTTTTGGTATTTACAGTAATATATTATATTTGAAATATGAACTATTACATATTTCATATTAAAAATAACATATATTATACTAATCTTTATCAATGTAATTAATCTCTCCTGTATAAACCTCACATATCAGGAGCTGAAATTAAATATTATTTTTTGGAGGAATAAATGATTTGCTGGATATCGAGGGCAGTATACACATCTTAAATAACTTGCACATAGCTGACTTGTGGTTATGGGTCTATCACTGTGCACAAGTAACACAAACACATAGGTCACACATATCACACAAGAGCGGTTATGAACACACACCAAGTCCGGATGGAGGTAGCCAAAAAAATGCATGATATAGCGATCAACTGTCTCACCTGACAATTGTGGGAGATCGACCAAATTGAATTGCTACAAAAATAACTCTACGAACTTTACAAATATAAGAAACTGAATCTTGAACACTTTTAAGAAAACTTGAAAGTGTTTGACAAACTCCTGAGTTGAGAGGACCTGATCCTCAACCTTGAAAAATATTATTTAATGTGTAGCAAATACATTGGCTCTTGAAATTGTGATATGACCATTATAAATTATAATTTGCATTAGCAACAATTTAAGCTAAATAATTCTATATATTAAATAAATATTTGCAAAAGAAAGTAGAATTTTGAGAAATGGAAATCTGCATCAAAGCTATTGCCACAAAAAAATGCACCAATTATTTCTTTGGAAATTATAGGTATTAAGTATAAACATATGACCAATGTAAGACACAATAAAAATACCCACCTTGAACTGGAAGCCAAAGCAGCAAACAAAAATATTAAAGGCAAAGTAATTATGAAAAAAATAATTTAATTTTGTAACACAAGTCTATACTTCATTGGTAGCTTACTAATTAATATTTTAAAATAATCATGTCATTAATAAATTAATATCTTAAAATGGAAAGCAGATCTTACTCACCCTTCCTTTAAGATCACTGGTGAGTCTAAATTTCGATGATTTGGATTTGGATTGGAGGCCGCAGAGATTATTTCCAGGAACTAAAAATGCAGTAAATAAATATTTGTACAGTTACAAACAGTAAGAATGTGTTGTAAAAATATTTTCATGGATTGTTAATGCTAAAATTTAGTTCTGTTTTTTTAAAAAAAAGAGAATTAATCATATTGCATTTTAAAACTAGTGGTGCTCACATTGCAAAGACTTTCTCATATTATGAGTAAGAATGTAAAATCCATAGGGACTTGAGGTTTATTGATCTGGGGATGCCAAATATCTGCACTAGCACTCATAAGCAAGGAATCAATGCAATAGTTATCTTTATCTATGCTTTTCCATCTCTTTATTTTCCTGTTATGTAAAAATGAATGTGGGAAGAAGATGAAAAGAAAAAAAATTGTAGTATTCTTATTATGAACATCTTTGGTGATTTTAAGGAATTATATAAAGATCATTTAAAGCAATTGTGTGAAAGAGAAAAGAGAGTGAGAAGGGGAGAGAGAAGGGAAGAGAGGGAGAAGGATGGAGTGAGCGTGAAAGGGGGGGAGAGAGGGAGGAAACATGGAGAGGGAGAGGGACGGAGAGAGGGGAAAGGGAGAGGGAGAGAAGGGAGAGGGATGGGGAGAGAGAGTGGAATAGAGAGAGAAAAAGAGGGAAACTCCTATGTGTGATTTAGGCACTAGTATGGTTCACAAACAGATGTGTTTGAAAAAATATCTTTTTCAGTGTTAGGGATGCCCAAAATTGATATGTTTACCAACATTACAACTCATTTCTTCAGTACATATATAATAGTATTTGAAGAAGTAAAAGTTGCATCAACATACCTGTCGTATTGCTTGAATGTGTTGCTCTGTACAGAAGGTCTGATATACAGCTGTCATGTACTCCTCTTTGCAAGGTTGCTGTAGAGAACGGCAACTCACTAGATTTCCTAGGCTTTGTATAATCTTAGAGATAAGGGTAAGAGTTCGATTTGTCTGCTGGTCCTGTACAAACAACACACTCAATGAGTCAATGTATTTAACATACATTTCTTTCCAGCCAATTTTTTTGCGCAAGGTTCATTCTAGCAAGCAAATAAATACTATTAATTTTTTTCAATCTTCCCTAATGTAGTTCATGAAATTGGAATCTTAAAGAAAAATGTTTGCAGTTTTTTGTATTCTTAAATCAAAATTAAATTATCCATATGTCTGCCAACAATGGGAGGGAGGTTTATTGCTGCCATGAATCTCATCAGAGGAAAGATTACCTTTAATTGCAATTCTAGAAATTGTGAAGGTTCCATATACAACATTAAAGGGGGAGATCAGGAAATAAGTAATTCAAAAAATAAATCTCAAAACATGTTCTTAAAATGTTCTAGTTTTGGATTCCTTAAGAGAGGAAAAAACTGCCTGTGTAGTTAGCAAGATAAAAAACTAAGTTGCAATCATATTAAAAGTCAATGAAGAGGAAGAATATTGATTATCTAATGGTCCATCTTTTTCATGTTAATTTGAATTTTAAGTTCATATAATATAGTGGTGAAATAGCCAAATCATAAAACTATTAAATGAACACATTATGAAATTGTTTAAAGCTTTAGTCACCTCAACAAGGAATCAAACATTAAGGCCCCTGGTTTAGAGAAAAGAATTGAACTAGTTTTGTTTTTCTATTATAGTGATGTGAGTGATTAAAGATGAATTAAGATATGCAAAAGCTCAAGGCAATATACAAGGAAGATAAAACTCCATCAGTTCACAAATATGCACACTTACTATTTGTTCAGTGGTGAGGTCAAAAAGTTTTGGGCCCAAAATTGCTGGGGCAAAGAATCTTAAGAACACAAAACCGGAAATTACAGAGTACTTGACTTCCCTATTTGCTGAAACAAACAAACATTTCACTTTAAATGCAAACCATAAAATAGTTTTCTGATAATATAGAGTAACAGTATAGAAAAAATGAACTCTTTATTTATTAGATAATAAAATTTAGATTTATTACAAATGGTGAGTTTTATAAAATTATAAATATTTTATATTTGAAATAAATTTAAAAATGAAATAATTGTATAGTTGACTCAATAAGACGAATGAAAAACAAAACTATCACAAATATTAATAAGATAATTTTCTTAAATAATTAATTTTGTCTTCCATGATGTGTCAAAAACAAAACATTTGTCTATAAACATTTAATGAAATGATAAATAAGTGACCTTGAACAAGTTCAGTGTTTAAAATGCTTACATGGGAAATGGTAACTTGCTATTTCCTTGAGCACATGAAACAACTGACACATCAATACTGGGCACTGTAAAGCAGATGTAGTGATGGCTTGGAAAATTGCTTGCACATAACCCTGAAATTGTTGAGTAAAGTTTCAGACAATACAAATATTAAAAATTTGAAATAAACAATTGAATAACATGAGCAAAGATTAACAAACATAAACACTTTAGAACTGTACCTTTAAATTATTCAAATTAGTTTCAATAACATTAGGATCTTTTACACGAGTTGGATCAATCTCACAAGGCTTATGTTCCTGGAATAGCAGCTCCAAAGATGGTCGCAATGTGTTATGAAGATAATGTAAACCTGCTAACCTCATTACTTCATCCATCATTTTTGATACAAGAGTGTTTCCCCGGAAAATAGTATTGGCATCCCTAAAACAAAACAGAGCTTGTAGTTATTATATAAAACAAATATTTTCAAATTCTAAGGGTTAAAAAACACATTCAGTTTCAGGTCAGAGGAATGGAAAGCAGGGCCCAAGTTCTAGGCGCCCTCAGGCATTGGTTGAATAATTTCTGTAACGATTTGAAAGGAACTCATCCTGTTTTTACAAAAAAATACAGTCATTATGAATTGATTGCTGCTAGGGGCAAGTTCACTGGAGTTAATTCAATTGAGTTGCATCAAAAACTAATTTCTTTCACGAGACCCTACTCAGTAAATTTATTTTCAGTAGCAATTCATCACCATTCCCTAAATACTCACGTGAGTTTAGAAATCTCCCAGTGGGCAAGAGCGCGTACCATGGGAACAATTTGGTCATGGTGAACAAGCACACGAACTAGAGGCTGGGCAGCATCGAGCTTGCTAGGCACTATTTCACCCAGGATGTAGGCTGCACTAGATGTGATAGGCTGCAACATTCACAAAAATTATGATACATTTACATTTAAAATTATATTTCTTGAGAAGCTACATTCTCAGTCTTTTTTTCATCTATGTCCTAACCAGTGATTACATTGTTTTGTAACCTATACAAAGATGCATATTCTTAAAGTTCTGTTTCTAGCAAAGTTGTTGAGTCACAATTTCTTTACTTTGTGGGGGAAAAAGATGTTTGGCAAGAGATAGTAATAATATTTATATTGTATAGTTGAGTCTAAAATGGGAAATAAACCTATAGAAAGATGCGCCCATAAATTAACAAATTATGTTACTGATTAATTTAAACTAGTGGAACTAAAACAGCATATACCTCCTCACATTATTTGTAACTTTTGTAATTTTTGATAATTCCCAGAAAATAAAACCTGTGCCATTTTTTGAAAGCATCCTTTGCTATGTCCTAGTCAAAAATTTGGAAAGTTTTGAGAAAAACATTTTTTTATAAATCACCTTCACTTCATCAAAATTTACCCCCAAACTTTTTTTTTTCCCCAAAAAATTGTACCTGAGGTCACTTCGAGAGTTGTTTATTATTATTTTTTTCTTTCTTAAGTACTTATGTAGTTAAGAGAAAGTACACAAAAATTATTGTTTTTTTAATAGAAAAACTTGTATTATGGGGCCCTCGTATAGAAGAAGTGGAATAATCTTTGGTATGTGTGTTTCGTGTATGACAATATGCAGTAAATTACTTACTCTAACATATTATTTAGTCAGCATCCACGTTTTGTGGGTCCTTGATACTGAAAAATTGCTTGACAGCAAAACGTATGTCTGACAATTTACCTGTCTGTCTGTGGTCAATGCCAGCACCTATATCATCCACACTATTTTCTCCAAAATTGATCCCTAACAATCTGAACAAATCTGAGGCCTTGCGAGTTTGAAACAGATATTTTGATTTTGGGGTACTTTAAAATATGAAGCCTTAATAACATTTTCAAAATTTTCTACAAAACGGTACACTAGCACTCTAAATCATAAAACAAACGTAAGTTTGATTAAATGTTTAATTTGTTAAGAAAACTACACATGTGTATTTTTTTTATTAACTCGTATGCACAGGTGTATATTATAATTAATGTCGTTGAGATGACAGATGCTTCAAAATACCAGTAATAAAGCTTCTTGAATTCTAAAAGGTTTTGAGCGTCCACCCAATGAAGTAGTATAGCTCTGGCATGGAGTCCTATGATAGTCAATCTGAGAGCGCAATTCTCCATTTTTGGTCGGTAAGAGAGGAGACCTGATGGCACGCGCCTTAGCTCCCCAAACATTCGGTTGGGGAGAGTCCTGGCGATGCGGCTCACCAAGGCAGAGTATTTTCCATTTAATGCCATTCAATGACCGAGCTATTCTTGCAGTATCGATGTACAATAAAATCGTTTTCAAATTCAAATTCAAAGAGCGCTCGAAGAGCGCCGTCTCCGGCGACTCGAGCGCACCCATGCAGAGTACTCACGTCACCGATGTCTTAGCTCTTTTACTGCGTTAAATCTACGGCTGCTCGTCTCTATCCTTCAACATCCCCCCTCCCCTTGTTTTCGCAGCGCAACGTTCGTCAGATTACGGCATCGGCTTACACCGCAGAGCGGAGGATGGGGTCTTGCCAAAGAGCGAAGTGGGGGACCTCGCCGATCTTGAAGGACCACGATTAGTTAATTAATTGATTCCGGGCGCGTCAACTGCTAAGGTGATCTTCCATGCTGAATTGCGAGGTCCAGCGCCGATCTACACTTCGGCTGGCGGAGTTTTCTCAAACCAGGTATCTCCCACCAGCGGGTACCTCCACATCCTGGACACGCACCCAACTAGTCCCCCACCATGTATTTCAGTGTAGTGCATATAAGTGTAAATGTGTGTAAGGGTGACGATAAGTCATGGAAAGGGACGGAAAGATTACTTGCGGTAGCTCATTTTGTTAGGTTACTGCTCGGACATTCGCCTCGTTGAACGGAGAAATCACGGAAAACTACCGATCAGAGCAGCTGGCCCCTAGAATTCTTCTCCAGACTGAAGTTCGTCCTAGTTATCTAGCTAGGACATCCCGGTCAAAGGAACCGCAGTGACATCAATTGATGCCCTGACCCATCTAAGCCATTTTGAAGGACTCTGAAGGAATACCAATTTTCTGACTTCGTCTGAAACAATCTGCATCTTAATTTTATGAATTCGCGAATTGTTCAAAGTACACACATTCAGTTATTATTGATGGCATTGAATGCATTATTTACGTTTGGTGAATGTATTTTTATTTGATGTAATCTTTGTATGAATACTTATTGGTTATTGGTAACTGTTGGTAACAAAAAGAATACAAAATCTCGAGTGCCCACTGGAAATGAAAGCCGTGAAAGGATCGTGAGCGCGGGAAGTTAACATACCATAACATTACCATACTACGCACAACATAGTAGGAAAGTAATGTCGTAATATAAATGTTTCTTACACTCAGATTTAATTAATTAACAGGAATTGCTTACGTTTTATTCTACATTAGTATTCTGAGTTTTGGAAATTATAAACTCCTCATTCGATGGAGCTGCAATCCCCAGTCTGTTGGGGCACCAGCCGCCATTGGCGTCCTCAGCTGCAAGGCACGCTCTGGACGCGGCAGCGGTACGACAACGAGCGACGTCCAGCCGAAGAAGGGCAAGTGCGTGGCTAATCACGAACACCAGAGCCACCAGCTGCAGGTCCTCTGATCGTGCCGTGCGGGTCGTGGTGGCCGTGAGGATCACTATCGGTAGGCACGGAGAGGTCCGTAGGAACGCTATCGGGCACCGTAGGAAAGCGCGCTTCATAACGTCACACCACGCTGGTGAGGCGTGTTTCGGTACACCATAACCCGCCTTTCCTGGCGCCCCCCCCCCTGCGTCTTCAGACACGGGCCAGGTGGTCCTCGCTATACTAAAACAGAAGCGATACTCGACACTGAAGACGATCGGCTGCCAGCCCGCATGGCCCCGTGTCCGTGGCTCTCGACACCGGGCGAGTCTGGAGCGACGCTGATGGGATGAGAGCGGCAGACGTCGAAACGGTTCCCGTGCGGCGAGCCCTGCGGTATATAAACGCCTTCCAAAGAAACTGGCATTTGCAGGATGGGGCAGAAAAGGCTGCACCGGCCGTTGCGTGTCACCTATCGTTGTCGTTGGAACGATTCGCATACGGCGGACAATCCGACGGTCCACTTCCGTGCGTGGCGGTCTCTTACATTCTGCACGAAGTGTATGCGTGCCTTACTCTATCCATTGCTACCTACAACTGGCGACGTTGGAAGTCCGTACGACTGGTGTGGCACGCATTACGGCGTCAGGACCGAATAACCACTCGCAGGCCTATGATGCAGCTCTCTAACGCGTATAACTAGGCAACTTTCTATCGAACGCGTCGCCAAGGCGTTGTGCACTGTCAGGTGATTCTCTGGAGAGGCTATCCGATGTCGCCATGGCCGGCACTACCGTTTGGGGCCTGACGTCACGCACTCCCCCCCCCCCCCTTCCAAGGGCACGGCGGATCGTGAAAAATAAGTTTACTCCAACACTCACCGTGCTGAATGTTTGGATTCTCGTGAAATTTCTCAAAACTCACATACTCAATTTTTAAAGTTCTATGGAATATTAAAAATTGGGATTTAGAGTGTAGGACCTTACGTGACCCCCGTGGAAGGACGTCTGTCAACCGCTGTCGGATTTGGTCCCGCGTACGTTCTTTCACGACAGATGACAAAGGCCACATCCGATGATGTCTTCAGTGTGAAGAGGATAGTGGCCGTGTTCGTAATAATTGTACAGAAATAAGGATATCTGCTAACCTCATTACTTCTTACCTATTTATCGTAAACCAATGCTACTTAACAAAACTGAAAAGAAACTTACGTATGGTGCTTTAATGACTTTTGTGTTATACTCTGTTTTAGACATTTTTTTATTAGACTCGATGATTGAGAAAATTTTGTTTCTAACGCAAAAGTGAATATATTTATTTATCTACCTACCATATACCAAATTAACACTGGCGGCGGGTGCCCCCAACAAACGAGGTTGTAGTTCCATCGATTGACGAAAAAGTAATTTACAAAATTCAGAACACTAATATATAAAAAAAAGTAAGCAATTCATGAAAATTAAATGTAGTTACATAAAAGTCTATATTGAAACATTACTAACATAATTTACGCGTAGTGCCTGTGTCAAGTATATAGGTACACCTCCTGTGCATGTACATGTAGTTCTGCTTTGATTTCCTCTGGATCTTAAGTTTTTGTAATAGTTATGTACTGAGCCAATTGACGGTAATAGAATTCATACAAAACAAAAACAACAAAAACTTGGTTTCGAAAATACGGTGATCGCACAGCAGTTTGCTTAGCACTATGCAAGAACCATTATTGTTTGGGCACATTATACACAATTTATTTTTTTTTTTCGAAAATTCCACTAGTTTGGTGAATATTGTAATTACGAAAGACTCATATACACACACTCGTATTCACACTAGCGCTCTCAGAATGTAACTCAGCTCAGATGTAACTGCAGCCAGAACTATGCACTCAACGAGAGAAACAGAAAGGGACTTCCTTCCAGAACGGCCAATTTTACACATCAAGTCATCAAGTGTACATTTTAAAACAACAAACCTAATATCAAATGAAATCAAATTCTCCAAACATCATAAAAATGCAATCAATACCGTCAATAATTGACTGAACGTGTGCACTTTCAGTTACACGCCAAATTCATAAACTGAAGTTAGAGCTAGTGTCAGAAGAAGACAGAAAATTGGTATTCCCCTAGGACGCCGCCCAGCGCTAGGCGACGTAAGTCCCGCCCACTGGTTGTGCAACTGAAGGCCCAATTGAGCTCTGCGTTGAAGCATAGAGCCAGCAGTGTGACATGGTGCAAGGCCCGGGAGCCCAGACGCCCCAGAGAGTGCTCGAGTGGCTCTTTGGTTCAAAATGATTTCGTATACATCGATATTACGGCAATATTCCGAATATTGAAAGCCATTAAAACGAAAATGTGTATTCCTAACATATTATAAAATATCTGAGAGTTGTACAACTGAGTCACTGCGAGATAACATGTGAAGGGTTCCATATCTTTGCAATTGCATTTGTATTATTAATGCATGCGGTTGACCTTCTCGTCTTTCCGAACGTGCCAAGTTAAACACCCGTTTCTGTTACCCGGCATGCTACATGCGCTCCGAGGCAAGATCCTGACGACAGATACGAGGCTGATAGCGGAGGCGCGGAGTGCGAGTAACGGCAGCGCGCGGCGATTTACGCGCTTCGACAGGCAGTAGTAAGGTCGTGAAAGATGTGAATAATAATAGTCGCCAAGTCACCAATTACAATGCTTCATAGCTTATAAAAAAATTAAATTTATGACTTTTGAAAGGTGCTCTATAAGTTGGAAAAGTTTTACATCAATCCAAGTACCCAGCACGGAGAGTGTTCTTGATGTGTATAACCGTCAAGCTTAGAAAGGATCGGTCGAGTCCTGGGATCAACGTTTTTTATGTGGAATATATATTACTATTTTATATAGCTGATGCAAATTGTACGGAAAGGTCTGTAGCACTTTGTAGAACCACGAATTTACATGGAAGTGGTAAATTTTTTGTCTTGGGATTAAAAGCCGATTTCAATATCGAGAAAACGAGTCGCAAGAAATCAGTGGTCTACTTAGTCGTCAATCGGAGACGAGTAGCATCCAGCGAGCAGTTGTATAGACTCACCTCGACTTGCGGGCTCTGTAGGATCAGGTCGCGGAGCGCGTCGTAGGCGGGGCTGGGGAAGACGTAGTCGACGGTGTAGTGGATCTTGAGGCGCAGGGAGCCCAGGCCTTCCAGGGCGGCCAGCGGCGACCCCGCCCCCGCCCCCGCAGGCTGCTTGGGAGAGCCTCGCTGCGCCCCGCTCCGCGGCTGCAGGAAGTACCTGCGGACAGACACACCGAGACATGCGCTTCTATTTATTTATTTAGTAAAAATCAGTAACAAACTGTATGTGACGTATGGGGAAAAATATCATCTGCGCACGTTTTCTTGAGTTCCAGAATCCTAACATTTTAACTATAAATAGTTGAGCGGCGTGTAAAAGTTTTTTAAAAATTAAAAACAACCAAACAACAAATAGGCAACACATGAAAAATTAGATATTTTTGATCCAGAGTAATAGAAAACTTATTTGCAATGATAAACAAACTGCAGATTTGATATTTTCTTACCCCTACTAGCAAAATGATAATGGCGATAATGGAATATGGAACAATTTGTTGGGATCCGCACAAAATTATGCAGTGTAAACATTTGGAACGCGTTCTGCGTAGGGCAGCTATATTTACAAGAAAATGGCAGAATGGGATTAACTTGAAAACAGGTGATCAGTAGCAAGGCTCTCTGCTGCTAGAGCTTATAGCAGTCATCCAGCTTGGAAAGAAATTAATCAGCAGCTAAGTATTCCTACATACATCAGTAGGGGGATCACAGGTTCAAACTAAATTTAAGACCGCAGAGAATAGATGTCGGGAAATAGTCTTTCACGAATCGAACGATAAAGGAATGGATAAGATTGCCAGCAAAGACCTTTGAACCCTTTCCTCAAAGCATTCAACAGTTTAGGAAATTAATTTAGGGTATTACTAAATAAATGAGGGACTTAACTAAGAATAGTAGGTTATTGGGCGAAGCATAAGTGATACATATGAAGTGACGTGTCTTGCAGTGTAGAGCAGAGAAATAATGAAGAAAGTGATTAAGGGTCATAGTGAAGTGAAGTGAAGTAAAGTGCAGTGCAGTGCAGTGTCAGAGCAGTGTAGTTTTCACTGAACAAACATTCAGTGCAGAGTTAGATTAGAAGTTTCTTTTTCTTAAAGTAATTTAATGTCATATGAATCACCGTTTTTATATTATTATTATTATTATTATTATTATTATTATTATTATTATTGTATAATTTGCATGTTAGATATATTACATTTATGTAATTAGCTGTCATCGGGTTATAAACAATTTGCAGTTTGAATAAATTCCCTTCTGCCACTCCACACAATTGCTTTATCTATATAGAGCTGTCTTTATAGAGAGGAGTTATTCTAAATAGAGGAGTTATTCTAAGAATGGACCACTTTGACAGTTTGAGAAATCAAGGTACGGTGTGCAGGGCGATGACATTGTAAGAGATAGGGAGGAAGCCATGTACATATGAACCTACGAACGCACTGACAACATGATTGCATAGACGCAACTTGCAGTTATAATGCCAGCAGAAGCAAATCAGTAGCTGACAACGCGGTGCCTTCTTACGGAGATCTCTCTATAGCAGGGGGAATTCACCCCGGGATGTGCACCAAGGCGCTAACCTGTACGCCCTTGGACTTGCATCTGGGTCACGACCGCAGTTTACCCTGTCGATAACCTTCCCACTCACTGTCTCTGTCGGGCCGCCCTGACCGAGACATGTGTTGCGAGAAGTGTGGAAAAGAGGCGGAAGCGGCAGCGGCTTCGCCCTACAGTTGCGGCAGGGTCTCTGACAGTTCCCTCGCCACGTGATGTGGTAGGTCATGTAACGCGTCCTGGAGCAGTCACATCGCGAAGATTTGCTTACTTGTCACACCCACGTTCCATGCTGCCGCTCATCTGATTAATACGCAATATATTTTACGATTTAAATAATAATAGCGTCTTCCCAAGATCGGAAGATAGGAGAGGGAACTCTATCATCCAATCGGGAGCTTCAGAATCAACAATTAAAGTCGTAACGAAGATCCCGTTTGGATAACCGCGACACAACTGATATCTGTCAAAAGTCACTTTATTTAAATATGATGATAGTCGCTGGAGAAGCACGTAGATACGTGTCATTAGCAGAATCAGTTTTCATCACCAGGTGTCAGGTGGCGGCAAGATTCAGCAGGAGAGGTAGTGATCTTGCGAACATGACATCAAGACATGTCATCATCGGTTGGTAAGGGTTAACGTTTTGAGATTTCATCCGCCTGTCGTAATGGTGCTGCCATGGGTGTGTGGCAAGAGCGCCTGGGAACTGTCACAAATGCTACGCTGTAGAAATTTTGACATACGATGGCTTGAATACCTTAACGAGCCACAAGCTGAAGTTGCCAGGTGGTGCGGAGCGGCCTGTAAGTTCAGCTTGAGTCCTTTTTCTTATATAATTAATAATATTATTTATTTTAACTTTTGAAAACCTCGTGTTGAATCAGCAAGAAACACATTTTTTTTCGAGTTGAGTCAGAAAGAAACAGATCATTTCAGTATCCCACACGATTCAAAAAGGTAAAGGGACTCAAATTTTATTAATGTCGTTCAAAATATCATGTTCTTTAATTAAGAACTATATCACCGTTCTATTTTCCCCACATGCAATCGACTATTGAAACTAAGTAAGTATCTAAAAATGTATTATCATGCAATACAAATATTTGTTCCATAAGGTCCCGAACCAAGGAAATTCTTAAACAGCTGAGTTATAGAATCAAACTGCGCATCACAGACTAAGTTATAGAATCTAATCGCATCGTGACAATTTAACGATCTTCTAGAATACAATTGGCATCGAGGGTGAATATGTACAAAATGGAATGGCATGTGGTACACTTTGTAGGGCAGCAACTGGATCACACGATTTGGTTTAAACGAACATTTTTTGTCACGATGATGTAACAGTTTTCCTGTCTCAGATACCAGGGGATGAAATATTTACACTTTGTAACATTCCGTTTTCAGCAATGTGGTTACGGTCATCTTGGCAACAACTGGTTAAGAGAACCCTCGTCTGTTCCAATTGTTTTCCTATAAAGTACTGAGGGTCTGTCCGTCACTAATGGTTAGACGCCCTCCCGCCCACTAATCGAGACAACTGAGGTGCCATTCGACGCGTCTCCGTCTGCTGATAGAGAGCTGATGATTTGTCTGCAGATCCGTCCACACGATTCCAAAAAAATTCTCCAAAAACGTGTTTTTGTGCGCCATCGGGCAGTGGCCAAAGAGCAGCCGAGATGACAGCTAAATGTGAGCCCAGAGAGATCCACGGCACCCAGGCGATTATTTACAGAGGTCGCTAGAAATTGTATCGCCCGGGCGCCTCTGTTTACAGTACGCCGGGCATGGCTTGAATTATTTGGCATGAATTTATCTTTCGATGGGATAATTTATACTGTACTGCTAATGGGACTATACCCTTTTGGTGGTATAATTTCAACTATGAAATCATGCCTACTATAAATATTTAAAAATTAAACGAAATTTTCTAAAATACGAGCATGCAGATGCATTCATTTTATTTAATAATCCACCAGATAATTTACTGAAATAATGTACTCTCGAGAACAACTCTTCAGGGAGCGTTCTTATTAGGATATTCAGTACCGTATTTTGGAGTGGATAGAAGCACAGCCCGGAAAGAACATCCGATAAGATGGGTCGTGACCAAAAATGTTATTTTTTTATTATTTCATTTTAATTCTCAATAATATATTTTTTACGTACTACGCTTGAACATAAAATTACCAACACCTCTATACTTACAATTTTCTTTTTATTAAGAATTTACGACGTCGACATTTTAACATAAGAAAATATTATTAAAACAGTTTCCAGCGTCGGCGACGCCGCATTGAGAGTTGGGCATATGTCGTCCGCCTTCACCGTCCACGCCGTTTGTGTGGCAGGTGCTGGGTGAGGGTAGGGGCACTCACCAGGCGCTGCCGAGGGCGCGCTGCAGGTGCTGCTGGCCCAGCAGCGGCAGGCGCACCTCGCCCAGGAAGACGTTGCCCGCCGCCACGCCCGACGCGTCGTGCCACAGCGCCACGCGCAGCTCCGCCCACTCGGCGCCCGCGCCGCCCGACTGCCGCTCGTGGTTCTGGCCCGCGCCGCGCGCGCTCGGCAGCTGCGCACACACGCACACACACACACACACACATTGCAGCCAGCGCCTACTACGGAAACAGGGAAAATGGGAAGATTATCTCCCTTTCGGGCTCCACAACTGCTTTGGATCGGTACATCCACAAAGGTAGCGGCTTTCTTCCACCGCTGGAACGTGAGATCCGGGGTCGATTGTTGATTCAGGGTGCAGCAACTGCTAATGTCGGTTGATCTGGGCTGTCCGGGTGACACCGCGTCGAAGGCTGGTATGATCATACCACACCCTGAGGAAGACCACGACAGGATGGTCGAAACGTCGGCAACTCAGCCTTCGACGCGGCGTCACCCGGACAGCCCAGATCACCCACATGACCCTGGTCGCGGAAGCCTACGACTTCATTCAACTGCTCTAAGCTCTAAGCTCCCGACCGGTCTCCTGGCATGTGTGGTAGCGTAGTGAATGTTAGTGTGTGAGTGTGAGTAAGGGGTGCGGACAGGACAAGGAATGGGAATAAACGATCGCGCGCGGTCCGTGGCCCGTTTGTCAGGGTACTGCTCCGGCATTCGCCTGGTACTTAGCGAAGAAACTACGGAAAACTACCAATCTGAGTAGCCGGCTCCTAGAATTCTCCTCCAGACAGCGACAGAACTCGACCTAGCAGCTAGTATATAAAGCTTCCAGTAGCTAAAGTCGAAAATACTGCCATCGCCGGGATTCTAACCCCAGACCCTCCCGAGGCACTACAGTGAGATCAGTTGATGCCCTGAGCCACCTCTTTCGGTTCTGGCGTCGACCGTCATAAGTTGGAATTTCCCCACCCAGGTATTTCCATCATCGGGGCTCCAGCCCTGCCAGAACAGATTCTAACACTAAGCTCCCGACTGGCCTCCCGACATGAGTGGTAGTGAAGTGTATGTGCGTGTGCGTGTATGCATATGTAAGGGGGTGGAGAGCACGAGGAATAAAAGATCGCGCGCGGTCCGAGCCTCATTTACTAACGTACTCCTCCTGCATTCGCCTGGTTTTAATCGGAGAAACAAATGGAAAACTACCTATCAGAGCAGCTGGCAGTTAAAAATCTTCTACGGCGAGTGGCTGAATTCGACGTAGCTACCTAACCAGGGTGGAAAATCCGCCCCTCCCGAGACTCAAACTCAATCTCTCGGTCACAGCTATTGCAGTGAAAACGATTGTGGAATATGTGAGTGAGTATTGATCCGTTCTTACGCCTTCAATGGTAAACCGGCTTCAGCAGTGAAAACGCTGCAAAACAATGGAAAACAGAGCCAAATATGCGATTAATTTGGCGGAATGATTTAAACGGTAAAATCATACGTTGCGGTTGTAAATGCCATGCTCACAGCAGAAAAATGCGCAATAGTTACCCAACTTTTCTCTTGTAATAAAAGATCAGTTGTGTATTGGACCTTAGTACAGCATAACGACTATAAAATACTAGAGAGAAACTTTCAAAATTGAATTTTAAAAAGGCAATGAAGTATATTACTAAAACAAATGAAAAAGTTGTGGATATTCTCCCCACCCGGTTGTATGTACACTCACGAAGAATGAAATCGTCTTTTTCGACGCACTGAATACGACAGTTCAAGAGACAAGGTGGGAAGTAGAACGTGAGATTATTCAGCGTTTCTCAATGTCCTGACCCGCGGCCAGGAGACTTCAATTAGTTGGAGTCTTGAGAATTCAAAATGCCATTTCACAACTGGGTCCCGAAAAATCAAGACGAACTATGATACCAAACAATACGAAATGAGGTGATAGATTAAACTAAGGGTCAACAGTTTCAAAAAGCTTTGGATTGTAATGTGGGAAACCTTAAAAAGCAATTTCTTGTAAATTCTCCTGGCCGACGTGTATCGATAAAACTGCAATACATGAACATCACACTGTGAACTTATACATTAGATTGACCTTTGTTCGTTGAGTTGCTCAAACCCAGACATTGCTAGTAACTTCCTCACAACATCCACACAACCTTGCGCTTCCTGAGCGAGTGACAACTAATTCTTGAGTCATTGGACTTAGCTACCCAAGAACGTCGTTACTATCCCAAGAAACAAAATTTTGCAACACCCTAGTTAGATTTCTTAATACCTGTAACGTCAACTTAAAACAACTCGGAAGTAAATCTCATTTGAAGTCAGTTACCGAAAAGAAACTAGTGGCAATTGATGATATTACTCGCGCAACTTTTCTTGAACGATGAATTGAAGAAATGCGGGTAGAGTGGGGGTATTAGTTACGTAATCAGACACTAGATTTTATGAAGCAAATCTCTGGAAAATCAGTCATGCCTTCGCAACGTTTTCAATAATTTGCGTTCTAACTTTATCAGGAGTTCGAGGTATCTTCTGTGATAGATCTTTACCTGATTCGGTCATTTACTTAGATTTTGCGGAGAAAATAACAGATAAGTTGCGCGAGTGATATCAGCGCTGTCATAAAATAATATTTTGAATGAAGCCCTGCGCCATGTTTTCGTCCAGCCACTTTCCCCGAGTGGCTCGGGGGCTTACCTCGAAGACGAAGGCGTCGTCGAAGTGCGGGGAGGTGGTCTTCTTGCGCGTGCGGGTGCGCTTGTTCTCGGTGCGGCCGTCACTGTACCGCAGCGCCACTGTCGCGAACGGGTCGCACGCTCCGTTTGTGTGCGTCAGCTCGCTGCACTCCAGCACCCTGCACAAACACGTACACTCGTTCGCTCGCTCTCATTTTCTCTTCATTCACCAGGTTCACAAATACCCCTGGTCATAGCCGCGCGCAGCCTAAAATGAGGCGAGGGCCAACTGCATTTCTGGGCCCCCTTTCCTTTAGACTCTTCTTTTATTTACATATGAAGGGATGCAATAAAAATATGTGTGCACATGAATGGATGAAAACAAGAACAGTATAAGTGACATTTTATAAATTATGAGAAATGTGTCAATATCACTGTTAAGCCGTGTTGTTACATTTCATCATCAAAATCACGGCATTACAATTGTTCATTGAAACCACGAACATACATTGCCACTGAAATATTGCCTAAAATAAAAACGTTTTTCTCACAATTTATAAAATGTCTTTTATACCGTTCTGGTTTTCATCCATTCATATGTAGGTATTTGTTTTTTGCAAAATATATAAGAAGAAGAAAATATACAAAATAAAAACCCATTACAACGTTTGAAATTACTTGATATAAGCATTTTCTTTTTGACGAACACAAAACTTCATTGATCCTGTTTTAAAATGGATTCGAGGAGGACGAAAGGTTTATCTCTACGAAGGTATTGTAATACGATTTTTATTCGAAATATAAAAATGAAGTATACGTATGAACAATGTTTATTGGAAGGAAGCCTCTCCGTACGTGAACCTTCCCGGAGAGACGGGTGGTTTAATGGGAACATCCCCCTTCCCAAATCCAACATTGGTTTTACTTTCCTGTATACATACGAATATACGGAGTAATATTCGTAGTATAGAGAATGTTATGTAATGCACGAAAAATGCGGTTATTCGGCAGAAAAAAATTATTGTCAGTCCCTGATAATGCAAAAGTGGCTAAATCTAGTTGCTAAATTAAAACAAAATGGTGCTTTTGTTAATTAAAACAATTGGTGCAAAACGTGGTGTAACCAGATTCCGTTTTGTGGGACCTTGATACCGAAAAAACAATTGACGGCAAAACGTCCGTCTGTCCATCTGTCTGTCCGTCCGTCTGTCACTCTGTGAACACCAATAGCACCGTAGGAACAATTTTTATTAAAATGGATATTTCCCGGTCGATCTGGCTCCACTCGAGGCACCGCGATTATCAAAAACTTTCTTCAAAACTTGGGGGTACTTTACAAGAAGCACCCTGAACATTTTCAAAATTTTCTCAAAAATGCTCCAAATTTTTTCTTTAAATTTCTTGTAAAAATAGCGTAAGATACACTTTAAAGGAGGGGCATAGGGCATAGGGGTTCAATTTTCACGGATAACTCTGAATCTTCGAAAAATCGAATATTGAAAAATCTCGATAACAACCATTTTCTGAGACACTAGCTCAAAATTTCGCATTTCAAACACGCTCAAATGCCATATTCTTATAAACGGCACCAAACTTTGTCTTCGAACTATTCGAAGGGATATTGTTCATTGCACTGTTTAATATAACGTTAAGTTCATTTTGGAATTTTTTTTTGTTTTTTCTCAAATTATACGAATGCAATGTTTTTGGAAGATCTCTAATGCCGTTAACATGCACATTTTCACCAATTTAGAAACATATTTGGATTTGTGAATTAATGTGCATTAAATGACTCCTATTAAAGTTTATCGAAAACTCAAAAATTTTCTGTGGAAAAGAGCATCACATTTCGAATTTACATTGGCGATAAAACGCCACTGTCATAAACATTTCCAATTTTTTCAAAGCAATTTGTCATTTATGACGAAGTTTTACTAACCTTTGATATCCTTAAAATAATATTTCAGATCTACTATTAAAAAACCGAATAATTGAGAAAATTTCAAAAATATGTACTTTAGGCAGTGATAGATGGCAGCTGGCAAGAGTATGTGTTAAGTCTGAGTAGCTAGCCGAGATCAAAGGAAATAGAAAACTAATACGGGAACGCCTGTGTCATTTGTAGCACCATTAGTTGCAATTGAGCTCAATTTATTGAAAACAATCACATGTTGATCTCATCACATTCCAAAGGAGTATCCCCATTAAGCTCGAGTGAGCGGGATTTGAAGAATAAATTCCGAATCCTGCGTCCCTGACTGATGTTTCCCTGCGAGGTACTAGAAGCGCGATAAGACTGTAATAAATATTTGTCAGATTGCGATCGCGTTTCGCCTGAGCTCCATGAAACATCAGCAAGCACTTAGTTAAGATTACTTCTCCTTAGCAAACATCATCCCTTGCTTGATTCCGAGTAGGCGGTTTCCGAGAAGCAGGCGGGCGAGGGAGGAGCATTTGACAATTCACGGAAAGACCAACGGTCGAACGAAGTATTTACATTGCTTTGCAACAAAGATTCCCTTAATAACAATTCCCTTAACGAAACTTTGTAACAAACAAAACGAACGAACCTTTGTAACAACAATTCCCTTAACGAACTACATAGGCATTTCATTTCTGAAAAGTTCTGTTTCGACGGATAAATGCATTGAAATGTAACGAAGTGAGTAAGAAATGTACAGTCACGGGTTTTTTTAGCGGCTCGTGGCGCGTCGAACTGTGTGTGGTCTACCAGCGACGTCCCGTTCTCGCGGCCATGGATTAAGGGAGTACGTGTGGTTGGCACGAAGACATAGCCACATGTAAAACATGTAATTATACTAAAATATGTAAAATGAAATGGCGCTAATTCATTTAAAAGTGTTGTAAGCACTAAAAAAATGTTTGAATGCGATTACCGTTCGAAAATCCATCTCCTACGCATGAAATATTTTATTAAGAAATAAATAAATAAAATATACTATAAGAAGAATCAAATTATACATATTATTATATATAATTATTGTAAAATAAATAAATAATAACTTTTACAAATAAACTACAACAGAATTAAATCCTGAAACTGTCCGCCAAAGAAGGGAAGCAAGGAACTTATATTTACGAGATAATTATTTTTTATTACTCAGGAGTCTAAGATAATACAAAAATAAAACCGTTCTTTTTCTTTTCTATAGACATGTATTATCTTAGATATATAATTAATAATAACTTATATTTGTTTGTTTGTAAAATATCATTAAAGGTAAATACTCGTAAAATCAAAATGAAACAGACGTAAATTATCAAGTGTTAGAGTTGGACATTCCCTCATTCGCCGCATACAGATTTTTTTCGCTGTTTATTCAACGTTAAATAAACAATAATATGATAGTTATCTGCTTTGGTTAACCAGGAGCCTCAGCCCACCGGAACTCGGTTAACCGCGAGGCTCGTGAATGCACAGTAGGCCCCGAGTCTCCGGTTAACCGAGGCCGAGATCAAAAGGATTCGTTGGAAAACGGAACACAGGGACTGAAGTGAATGAATTAGTCGGGGGCTGAAGCGTTCGCCGGGCGATGCAGATCTCTCTTCGAAAAATACTGACACTTCTCGAATTCGATGGTCATCGTCTATTCTCGACAAACAATATTTGGTTGCCAATTCGAATTACGAGTTACTTTGTATGTAACTGAGTGAATAATGATTCCCGACCGCCAAAATGCGTAGGTCATTAATTATTCCCGTAAGTGTAGTGCATGTTACATCGCGGGAAGATGCGGACTTCGTCGCCCGGTGGAACGCGCGACCCGGGGCCGACCTAAACGTCGACTTGCTGTTTTTTCTTTCTCCAGGTGCAAACCCCCTGCCGGGCACCGCCTCAGTCGGGACTAGATCATGGGCCAACGATAGATCAAGAAAGTATTTCAGGGAGGAGGGGCAATTTCAATTCAGATTCACAATACTTTTGAAATATTTTTAATTTTCTTCTCCCTACTATAGCACGAGGATGCGAGAAGATAAAGCAATTCTGAACCTGAAAATCGGGAAGTTTGGTTGGATGGATGGATGGATGGAAGGATGGGTGGGTAACGTATGTACGTCACAAGTAGGTCTGTCGGATAAAGCGGCTTAGCGACTCAAGTTAACATCACTGCAGTGCATCTAACCGGAAGGTCCTGGTTTCGAGTCCCAATGGTGGCAGAATTTTCAGCACTAGCTACATAGCAATGTCGAATTCAACCGTTATCTAGAGGAGTTGTCTAAATAAGAATTATAGTCGGCTGCTCTGATCGGTAGTTTCTCATGGATTCTACGATCAATACTAGGAAAATCCCGGAGAACTAACAAAGGGAACACGAACCGTGCGCGATCTTTCCTTCCTCTTACACTTCCATGCACTGCACTACCACACATAGTCGGGAGGGCCGCTGGTGGGAGATACCTAAGGAAAACCCCGCAAGCCGACGTGTGGGTCGGCGCCGGTTCTCGCCATCCAGCGATAGAAGAATATGCACTACACTTACGGGCCTAACCTTGGCAGTTGCCGCGCCCGTCCACACGACTCGCTGACTGAGAGGCAGCTCACCTGACGCAGAGCGCCGTGGCGCTGGAGGGGTCGGCGGGCGCGCCGCCGGCCTGCAGCTGCAGCTGCAAGTGCGCCTTGCCCTGCACCTCGCTGTCGGCGTCCACGGTGCGCAGCGGGAACCAGTGGTCCTTGCCGTGGTAGGCGTGCAGCTCGTCCCGGCGCACGGCCACCTTGCCCAGCACCTGCGGGGAGACAGCGCGCGCACCTGAAGCAGCCACTCGCGCAATCTCCTGCTCTTAAAACACAGTGTAATAATACTAAACGCAGAGGCACGAAGGTAATGGTTATCTGATGCAAATTCACACATTGTAAGGGGCGCAACTAGCATTTTTCTCCAGAGAGGGAGAGCGAATGGTAAAGTGCCTACGGGCTTGACGTTTTCTTATACAAACATTTTCATTTACGGTGAATTTAAAATGAATTTTTATTCGTTAATTCATACTTATCATGTTAACAATTGATATATGGAATGGCATTCGTTAGTATAGAAAATTAGTAAAAGCTATATATTTGAATATATGAAGTCGTAGGCTTCCGTGGCCAGAGTCATGCGGGTGATCTGGGCTGTCCGGGTGACGCCGCGTCGAAGGCTGTGTTGCCCTGGTGTCAACACAGCCTTCGACGCGGCGTCACCCGGACAGCCCAGATCACCTATTTGAATATATGTATCTTTGGCTTCTACGCCTCATGAGACCCCCCATCCTCCTTGGGTTCGCCACTGTATATTGTTACAATGTAAGTATTTATTTCAACAAAATTGTGCAATGTTAATTATATGTTTCTTCCAGACAACCCTCAATGAAGTACAATGCCCCTCGATGAAAAGACGGCATCGCCTGGAGTGGAGAACAAGGGAGTCGCGTCCCATCTTTTTGTACCCAGGGTATATTGGAGGGGACCACGCGGTAATCTGTACCTTATCTATTGCCTCCCCCTCAATAATTCTGTACTGGTGACACCATTCCTCATGTAAGCATTGGGTTAATATATTTTGTTAAAGAAAATTAAAAATTTAAGTCTTGATATGATTTCAATTTTATCATTTTAAATGCACTTGTCTTTTGTTCTATGTAGGTGATTAACGAACCTTTGCAATACAGTACATTATGCAATTCAAGAGTTTGGGGCAGTAACAAGATTAGCCACACCCACCACAGGTTTCCCACTATTCATAAAAGTTAATATTTCTTTATTGATCGAAATCTGCTCTTATCTTGTTACTGCCTCAAGCCATTCAAATTTATGAACAAAATACTCATGAACTAAATACAAAATTGCTCAAGTAAATCTTTACTATAATATATTAATTAATGATATAAAAATTATGGAAGCCGAAGAGATGTTACACGTAAAACACTTTTGGTGATGACAGTTTCACGAATTATATCCTTATAGTAATTCATTATATTTTTCAGGCATCGACATTTTTGCATTTGCATGTAGTACGTCTTCACGAAGGTCTAAAGGCCATTTGCAAGCGTTAAAAATATATTAGAAGAATCTACATACTAATATCATTACTACGATTTTATTCAAGTGCGTTTTGACATTAATCAATGGTACCGTAATAATTTCAATTTCCTTAAGCTGTAAAAGCAAAATGGACTTTTGGGGGAAAAACAAATCATTCAACCAAACACGCAACAGTTATCAGAAAAATATTTCAAATTTCGATATGACTAACGGAATTAGGAAACAATATTTTTTTACTAGACAATCACAAAGTCAGGCGCAAAAAATCGTATAAACTGATGCGTCAATTCTAGACAAATGTAGAACTTCCTAGAATTGCACAATGGAAAGGAAATAAGTCTTCAAAGTTTAATATTCTCCTCAGACTTCCGGGAAATGGCATTGTGCAACAGGAGCGAGGGAAGTGACGCACCCATAGGCCAAGAGAAGCGAAGACTGCGCGTACGTCATCGGGACATCGTGTACTATCCAGTACTACGAAGGCGTACCGAATGTATACATGAATGGGCACTCGTTTAATTAAAGGCCATTCATTTATTTAGTGTTATAATGAATTGCAGACCTTTAGATAAACTAGTCAGTCACTCAAACCCAGTGGCGCCTCAGGACATCAAAACTTAGTGATTCTCAATGTTTTGTCGGAGTAGTTCTCAATATGTGGCGGGGTTGCCTGGGTCCCGTTAACAAAACCTCCCGACCGCAAGGCTCGGAATACATTCCAGAACTTGAAAACTGCTCACAAGTGGTGCTCACCCCGTCGCGAAAAACGTACCGCGTTAAAATAAAGAGTAATAATTGCATCTTAAAAATTAACTTTAAAGTTTTTATTGTCGATCCCAGCAATCAATCAATTTTCACTACACATTTTGTACTACGCTTTTTTTTTGTTTCCATACCGTATGAATTATTGTACGTTTCGTAGCACTGAAGTGTGCAAATTATGCGGATGAAACATTTTTTACTTCCCATTATTTTGGGGGTATTAATTTGCCTCTCCGAAATACAATAGCTATTTCTGCGCCCAATTCATAGCTTTCTACAATGTTTGCTCACTATCCATCTCTCTACGATCTTATCATCGGCCCACGGAGTAAGTAGTGTGCGCGGTCAGAAAGCGATTTGCGTCATTCTTCATCTGACAGCCCCGACCCCTCCCTAAGCCCTTGAGATGTTGACTATCAGCATCGCGCTCTTGCACCCCTCAGCGGCCCGCTGCCCATGGGCTGCCATTACTTATGCTTTCCTGTTTTGGGAAGTAACATCTCGGTGTCAGTCACCGAGCCAGCTGTGCACACGTAGTTCACTCACTGTCTGCTTTACAGTTAATGCAAGAAAACATATGATTTCGGCTCATGTCAGTAACAACAGAATTTTAAAAAATTGTGAATTTTACATTAGCTACTTTTTAACAAAATTTAAATACCATAAATTTTTGGTCGTAGCGCAAACATGCTACAACTGGCACGAGCTGGCACTGGTCAAATCCAATTGTATTTTCTTCCGCCAGTTGTTTTGAAAGTTTCAAGAAAATACCTGTTAATTGAATCTCTAACGACAATGGCGTTTCAAATCTGATATTGAAAAATGAATACATTCATTTCTTTCCTATATTGGCATGCTTTAGGAATCAAATTATCATTAATCATTAATTTGAAAATAATATAAATTTTATCAATATAATATTTTTAATTTATTATTAATATTAAATATAAAATTTATCAATCTCAGAGAACTACAATTTTGTGAAGGCAAAAAGTGTGTTGATCAAGTGAACCCTCACTTCTGAGATATTATTCCTGAGAAGGAATCTTGGCAGCAAAGCTAATCATGACACTGAGAGTAGTTGCAATTTAACCGTTATCTCAGGGAGACATTTTCAATTCTATCCTGTGGTTGATCCTCAATATCGAGACCCTGGAGGTAGTGAGCCGACTGAATTCAAACACAATTTCATCAATAGATGTACATTTCACAATAGCTGGTGTGGTTGGCTACTGAAAGCAGTACAACTGCAGGTTATGTTCATGCGTCAATGATTTCGTTCGAAGTTGACTCATTTGTAAATGACTCCAACACTACCTCTAACAATATCATCGTCCAGGCAGCATCGTCGAGCAGGTCCGATGGGTTGTCTCGCCACAAATAGAGACATTTATTTATCATCTGACATGGCGTTAATTTTGTATCCCGACCAGTCAACCTGGTCCTTTCTAAGAGTAACGTCTCAGTATGTAAGGATTACGGGTATTTCGAGTAGAGTAGACATGAATGTCGATGTTTTCAAAACCCAAGTTTTTATAGAAACATCCATGTTTTAATCGATCAATATATTAAAGTCAGTGAGTTTTTATGATCGATGATATACGCTCGATGTTTTACAGTTTCGATGTTTTCATCGTGAATGAAAAAAAAATACATAAGCACAAATGTATAAAAATTAAAATAAGAAATAATAACTGACTGATGGCAGCATTGTCAATTTAAGTGTAAGAACCAAACGAACGTTGCTTGCACTACTTTCACCGAGCGTCCATTGTTCTTGTTATTTTCAATTTTGTTTTCTGTTAAATCTTAATTATAAAACAATAAACCGGGCCAATGTGAAATTAAATTTTGTCATGCCCGAATGTAATGTTAGAGAATATTAAACCTGCTTTAAAACGCTGATTGTTTTGAGCGCATCGATGCGTGTGTGTGTGTGTGTGTGTGGCGCTCACCTTGGCGGGGCGCGCGCGGTCGCGGTCGCGCGCGTGCACGTAGACGGCCAGGTGGCGGAAGCGGCGCGGCACCTCGAACTGGAACTCCTCCCCGAAGAAGGGGTCCGGGCAGCGCGGCGCCGCGCCCGTGCGGAAGATCTCCTCCTGGTCCAGCGACAGCGCGCAGAACACGTCGCCGGCCCCGCCCCCGCCGCCGGCCCCGCCGCACATGAGGTTCTTCGCCTCGCCTGCGCACACACGACGCGCCGAGCCGGTCAGCCGACAGCTTCCTCGGGCAGCATTCGGCTAAAAATGCTGCATCCATTATATGCGCATCGAATGGATGAGGCAGGGTGACACAAAAATGAGAAGATCGAATGGACCCCTGCTGAAAGAAGAAGAGGGAGACCGAGGAAATACTGGAAGGATGCACTAATACGACGAAAGGAAAAAACCTCTGCAAGGAAATGACTGAGAAGGTCGTAGCAAATGGAAGCAAGGATGCGATAAGAGACTTTAAGTTAATTGAATAATAATAATAATAATAATAATAATAATAATAATAATAATAATAATAATAATAATAAATTGTACAACCTCTGTCCTGTCATAAAAGAGGGTTTCACAAAGGACTTGCCTCTCGTACTCTTTTCTTGGCCGAGAAATTAAAAGGTTCCCGGCCTGTCGTACCACCCGTATAAAAAAAATTACACCTTAAATAAAAAATGATTTACACCTTGCAAAATTATTGCTCGCAATTTTTTTAGGCAAAATTTTGGAGCCCTCCGAAGAACTCCTGGAAAAATACTTGTTAATGTTATCTTTTTAATACTTTTGAAGACTTCTTTCACAAAAGAATATCTTTATCAATAATAAAATATTAAAATTATCGTTTAATGTCTTGGTTATTGAGATTTCCTTTCCTAGTTTTTAGTCTCAATGCAAGTGAAAATCAAATACTGGCGTTTTTGAAAGCTCTTTCAACTATCATCGAAGTCACTGATACTAAGATACTTGTTTACAGTTTTGAATTATTACGGTCATTACCTTGTCATCATTATCAATATAACATGAGATTATGGAATATTTCTTTTATTAATAAATGTATATGGTTCTTGTGCTGATGCATTAAACGCCGACACAACTCTTTATACTCACTCTTTCAAACACAATTCGAATAGAATTTTTAATGTGATGACTAACGTTTCTCTTTCTAGACAAACAAATATACGTAAGTAAACATAACATGTAACTAATTAATACATTTTTCCAAAATTGCGTTTGGTCTCAGAAAACTTTGGAAACTGAAAAAATTATAATATTTTAAACGGAGCAAAGTGTTATTCCATATTGTGTAACAGCATGAAAAGGGCACAGATCAGAATCGCCATTTTTATAGCATTTGCTCCAATAAACTGTTTCTGTATGGCATGTCGGCAACCTTGAGAACGCAGATATCAGGACAAGGGAAGACAAGAATGGGCTCTTTGTTTTCTGACAATGACTAGCGTGTTCTTGCTGTTTCTTTCATCTTGTTACGTTTCAGAGAGAATATTTGTTACAAGCACAATTTTTCACGATGTTCTAGGTACATTAACTCTCCGCTCTTTCATTAAAATAAAATTATTACAATAACAAAATGTTGGCTTTGGGACGATTTACTTGTGTGACGAAGACGAGTGTTTGTGAACTGTTCGCGACCTACTAGTTTATCTTCTATAGAGGATTCGAGGAGAAGTTATCGCCTCTGTTCTTTAAAAAAGGGCTCTAAACTTCACGATCTACTCCAGAGTCTCTCTTCATATGAAAAAGAATTATAACGACGTATTTTCGTAATATAAAATTGTGTTTAATTTTCAAGGTTACCGTAACTTTTATTTTGCTTAATATGACATTTTTATCTCTATTATCTGTTCCAATTAGTTTTCGTGCAAACTCCGCTCCTCATACTCCGCCATGAAAAAACAAGATAATTATTAAATGGCAAATTGTGTGTTAGATACTGTAGCTTAATGCGAAAAGAATGCGAAAAATTGCCAGCCAATATGCATTTAATGTAACCAGCGGCAACTGATTACTGCATCCCTCTGAGGAGTGGGTCTCATTGTGCTCCCAGAGCTGCGCCAGGCTCCGTCAAGGACGAGGGAAATGCACAACGCGCGATAAACCTCCTGCGGCCGGCCCTTCCGCAGACTCAGCGGCAGCCACCCGCCTTCCTTCAAGGGCAGAGCCCCAGGCGGGGCGCGTGGGACACCAATCCTCCGCGCTGATGCAGGATACGACGTACATACACGTTGATTCACCCCTCCCCACACACACATACACTTTTCCACGCTCCCTCCTCGAAATTGTGTACCCTTTCAATTGTAGGTTAGCATTTAAAATATTTTATTAGTAACTATAATATATCTGACACATAATTATTATTCTAAATATAATATATACTGACCAACCTCAGTATACAAATATAGGATAATAAAATATAATAAATAACGCTTGTGACATGTACTACCATAAAATAATATTTCCGCTGAGGCACCATTAGTTTACAAATTAAATGCAAAAATATTTTCATTCTTCCATTAATTTTATCTGTGAAACTAAGACATAATGTAATCTAAGAATAATTAACTTACCAAATAATGAATGAATTCCTTAAAAAATCTTCCATAACATTGGAATTGGGACTTAGAAATATATTTTTTTAGTTTTATAACAACCTATCCTTAATTCGCGTCGGCATCTATCTCCTTCCCATAGATTACTAAATGCATCCGTAAACGTAAGTACATGCCACGGAAGGCTTCATTATTTCGTATCTAATCCAGAGACTCCAGAAACAACACTATGATGGTAATTAAAAACATAAAACCATGAAATTCCAGACCTTTACGCAGTACATTTCAACAAGAGTCTGAAATTCCATAAAGGACAACAACACGAACTTATCAAAATTAAAATAACCAGAACAAAGCTTTAATGTTGGTTTCTCGATAAATTACTGAAACTGTCATTTAGGGTTCAACTTTTTAGACTGCAATTTATTGGCAAGTCTATTGTGAGGCCAATTTGTGAGGAAAAAGTGACATCATTTTCTGCTGTTTATCATGATTAAATTTATGGGATCTATTCGACATCCATCTGTCTCTTCGGTTTTCCAATAACTCGTGTCTCGTCTGTTTCATAATAATTCTGTGCAGGCAGCGAATAAGCGACTTTATTGGCATTCTATCGCAGACATATTGGAATCCTCGTGATATGTTGGGCATATTTTCTTAATATCTTCAGCAAATGCAATTTGCTTATAATAGTTCACCACTTTTATTATTACTTGGTTGGTTTAAGAAAATTTGACTATTCAACTGATAATTTGATATGATTTCCGTTATATTGCTTTATGATTTCCGTTTATTTTCCGTTCATAGTTTTCGAAGTTATCTTTACACTATACTTTACCTTCCTTTGCAGGATGAGGTAAAATTATTCATAAACCAAAAGATCCATGAGTGACATATCAATCTGCACCATGTGTCCAGAAATGTGTAAGCCCTGATCTGAAATTTATTTTTCTTACAGAAACGATGTGTTTATGTGACTATTTAAAAATATTTAAATACAGCGGTTTTTCTAAATACCTATTTACTTTGGATTCTATTTAAACAATACATCATCTTCGACAAACAACATCTTCAAATTGCCTTGTATTAATTTACATACATTTTTAATTGTAAATAAATAGGTATCACACAAATGTTATGAGTGGGTAAACACAATCTAAAAATATTCTTTTGGAAGTACACCATGTTAAATCCATTCGGAGATAATTATAACTCGAACAATAGCGCGTCGTATTTATACAAGAAGCGTGGGACGAAGATTACTACATTCGTAATTCATTGAAAGGCGTACTGGGTTTCATCACCGCAGCTCAATGGCGCAATAGTTGGCGTAGTCAACATCCCATTCACTCAAACAGTGTGAGCAAACAAACTCTTACAAAGCACAACACGTGATTAAATAAATGGCGGAAAAAAGGATTCGATAGGTTGCAAAGATTCCTATTAAACTGAGTGTCTTTTCGTCGTGCCGCGAAAGCAGGATAAGTTGAGTTGCACTTATCTCTAGCGTGAATCATACATCTGAAGGTGCAAGATGTTTATTAATTTATTTATTGAATATGCTGTATACAATTAATTCCCAAAACTCAAGAGCCAAATTAGTTCCCCGACTTCAGGATATAATGCCACATTATCTTCAATTTGCTCTCAATTATTTATTTTAATGCATTATTCAGCATTTAGCATTTCCAAGAGTCTTGTCTTGAAAGTAACTGGGAACAATTTTTGATAGTAAACTGAGTTGGGAAAATCATGTGAACATTGTCGTAGGCAAAGCCTAAAGGTTATTAAGTCAGAAGGGTAAAGACAAGACTCTGTGTCCTGTACAAAGAAAGCATTGGCTGGTTATCCAGATTGAAAAGTTATCTAATAGCACATCCAACTCAATATACACACGTACTCTACTCTCCTCTACTTTATAGTAGAGGGGATCACAAGCACAAAATTCAGTTCAAACCACAGAGAACAGATATTGGAACATTTTCCGTTCCAAATAGAACAATAACGGACTGGAGTAAGTTGCCTGCGACATCCTTGTAACCCTTTCCTCTACGAGTTCAAAGATTTAAAAGTAAATTAAGTAACGATATTTGTAAACTTTTTAAATTAGTAAGTTAGGATTGTAAAAAAGAATTTACTATTATTATTATTATTATTATTATTAAATGTATTGCTATATTATATACGCAATATAATCATATTCAATGTATTTTTATTGAAGTGTAGTGACGTGTTGTGAAGTGGAGTGCAAAGTAGATAAAAATGCACGTATTTATTAGTTTAAAATATCTGTATAAGATAGAAATGTAGAAAGATATTAAGTATTAAGAAATGTAGAAAGCAAAGTAAAAATGTATAAAACTATGGTAAGACCAGTAATAACATATGGAGCAGAAACAATGGCCGATAATAGGAGAAGTAAGACTCTATAACAACAGAAGAACACATACTAACAGAAGTATAACATTAGAGATGAGAACATTAAGATCAATATTGGGTGTAACAAGATGGGATACATTGAAAAACCAAGATATAAGAAATGAGTGTGACATTTCAGACATAGTAAAATTTACAAGAAAAAGAAGAGAATGGAATGAGCGCGTTACCAGGTCGGTCAGCAAAAGACTAAT